TATTTATTTATCTTATTTTTTATTTTATTTTATTCCAGGCTTAGCAATGTGAATACACTTCTGTAGAGATTTGTCCAAACAAGATTGACATATTTTCTGCTACACTGGAAGTGGTGTGTCATTATTATTTCAATTCAAAACCACTGTTTTAGCAAATCACCTCTGTCAGCAGTAGTTCATGAGCACACTCTGATTTTTCTGCAACGCACTCAAAATCTGGCACAGCATTCTTCTTCTGTACAACTTGTATTTCCTTCTGACTAATTTAGAACTGGAAAGAAAAAAGTTAACACTTGGACACAAAGCAAAAAATTTAGGAGACTAACCGTAACCTCTGAATAGCAAAGATCTAGAAGATAATGTGGTAAACTGGACACCACATAGATAGAAATGAATTTATATATATGGAGTAGTATTTGAGATGGGACAAGTATTTACTTGTGCCAGCTAAGGATTAATGAGTCATGCTGATTAACCATTTGTATATCTACTTGTTAAAAGAGCCAATCTTCTTTCTTTTACCACCTTGATACCAGTTGTTACTATATCCAAAATGTAAATCAGAATGGTCTCCCCTTCACAGGAATCTTTCCTTTTATAAATTCTACTCTGAAAATACCTTTAACAACCACTAAGATATTCAAAAAACAGAGGTTGAGAACATCTTACAATCTATCTCTTGTATATGAAGTTATGAACTTTATTTACAGCTAAACAAGTTAGTAGTTCTGTGCTGTTGTGACTAAGAACATCATAGATATAATAAGTGTAGAAAACTCTGTGCTAGAATTCTCACAAACACTGAACCTGGTAACCTGTGACTCTTCAGTATAGTTTGCAAAGTTTTATAAACCAAACATATTGTTCAAGTAATGGAAGTTGGATTTTCTACAAAGAGGTCCTACAGATATCCAATCCACACTACAGTGTACTGTTTTACTACATACACTACCCTAAAGACTAAGCAAAAACATGCTGAAGCGAGAATACATAATTGAATCTCCTAATTTCAAATTTAATAACTGATGGACTTTACCTTGAAGTCAAGCTTTTCTCCATCTTAAGCAGAAACATAAAATGTAATATAGTAGTTGTAACTAGCTATATTTGCACTGCACACATTCAAAGACAAGCCTAGAAGATTTGAGATTACATGTTCATTCCTCCTACTGTCCTAGCTTGAAAGTCTTTATATATAATAGAGCTAGTTGGGAAGCTGAAGTTTGCCAGGGATATTGCGTCAGAGCTTAAGAACAAGACGCAGAAAGCAGCTGAGATATTACCTCAGACTGTTCATCTCATGCATCCCAAGGCCCTTTATTTCACTGATTTGTTAGTTCATTTAATATTGCCACTATAGCTATCAGACATGTCATTTTTTAAGTAAAAAGATGAGTTTCTACCAATATCAGCAATATATTATTTAAAGATCTGATTATATATAGGGTATCCTTGTTAGGGTACCTACTAACCACTAAGATATTTTTCTCAACAAAATTTACAGGAGTAGTCTATCCTAACCCTAAACCTTCAGCTACATCTTACTTGAGATGGTAGACAACCAACTGTTTACTGTGCATTAAAGCAGCAAATATACACTGGAGGACTCTAGCTATCATGTACCATCATGATCTTCATACCACTATGTATAAACAAGTTTTTTTTTTACTCTAAAGAAAAATGAGTTTTTTCTGCCTGAAATCAAGAATCCTCACCTCTGTGAATACTTATGCATGCATAGGACTATATATGCCTACCCATCCCAAGGCACAATTCTCCTTTAATTGCCTAAACAGACCAGCTCAGTTAGTAGAGTTATGTAAGAGTCACATATGGGTAAGCAGTGCAATATGCCTGCAGCATGTATATATGTGATGCCCAAAACACACAGGGATAAATAATAAAAAGACCTTTGTAACACATGTTCTACACATTTAAAAAGGAATGAAAAAGGCTCTTAAAAGGATATGTTTGTTTTCAAGAATTTGAAGTTGACAACACTAAAAGTATCAAATTAATTATAACACATACAATAAATACGTTGGCCTTCTATAAAATCACAGTGCCTTGGACATTTTTTCTATCACTTAAGTTCTATACTGTTGATAAGTTGACAATCTCAAGCTAGAGAGAATTTGAGACTGTTTCCAACTACTTGAACACTCAACCTACCACTGTAATCAGTTCTTTCCCATTTGGATCAATTCCTCAATAACATTAAGGCTCAGCTAATATGAGAGATTCTATATAGAGATACATTCTACCTTTGCAAGTGATCCCTAAAGGTAATACCTCATCTTCTAAGAAGGGCTGATAGTAGGAAGTAGATGTTGCTACTGCTCCAAAATTTACAGTGCCTTCAAGCAGCTAAGTAAGTTCAAAGTGTTGGTTATACCACAGCCCTAATGTGATTAGCCCCTACCTATTTTTAAATAGCTTCCTTCCTTGTATCTTACTTCTAACCTGATCAAGAGAGAACCACTGTCCAAATGAATGCTGGAGACCTAAACAGAAATGCTACTTCATATTCATGGAACGCCTTGTACGCAGAGCTCATATGAAGCTCATCTTACTTAAAAACCAATTCAGGCTTAGATTTAGATTGCCCCTTTGCTCACAAGGGTTAACGAGTAAAGTAGATTAATATACAACAAAGGAAGAACATACAAGGCTTGTTAAGACCTAGCAGGAATTGCAAAACATACCCAATGCCCTGGAGAGTTAGAGAGCTCCTTACCAACAAAAACTACAATTACCTTTTCACTCAGATTAAGACAAAGGACTCCACTTTCAAATAGTTCAAGTCAGAAAGTTATACAATAAGGGCCAACCAGGAGAAGGAACCATAGCTCCCTAATATCAATAAGGAATGACATACACTGCCATGCTTAATCAGACCCAAGGTCAGTCTGCATTCTGTTTCTAAATTCCTGCTGATTTATGCTCAGAGGACGTTTAAAAGCAAATTATGAAGATAACAACTTTCCCTTACTACCCAGTATTTAAAGCATAACCATAAAACCTGTTAAAGTTTTTCATTCTTTCTTGCAATCAGTATTTAATGCATACAATCGGCAAATTATGTACCCAGTTTGCCATTGTGACAAAAAGAGCTGGATGTGTTTTCAAGATGAAAAGCTTCTAGTTTTCAGATTCCAAGCTGTTTGTCATATGAAGTAACAAGTTAAAACTATTCTTTTCCATAATGGGAAAGAGATTTGTCACCTGTAAAGAATACTATTATCCCAAACTAGTGATGGGACATTTTTAGAATTAGTAAGCAAATGCACACCTATAGACAGTAGGAAGACAAAGGCATTGAAATCTTTTTGCAAAGAGAGAACTAAAGATAACATACAGAAAAAAATGGAAGGATAAAATTTAAAACCAACTCTGTGATCTAAGAATCTAAATGTAACTTTTCAATTAAAATTTTAATGGAAGAAAAAGACAAGTGCACAGCCAAAGCTGAAAATGGATGGAAGACACAGTATTGGCCAAAAATATGAATCCATACTCACCATCAATTTTAAATACAGTAATAGCAATTCACTTCTACATTAGCTTATCATTTCAGTCAGGTTTTTGTAAACACTTATGCATACTAGCTTTATTTTTATAAACATTCTTTGATTTCAGTTATACTGATAATGAATAAACTCTCGTTCTTAAGAAGAGCTTAGAAAAATCACTTGGTTGTCTAACAAAAAAGTTGCAACAATGGCAAAGGACAGTAATGATAAAACTAGGGAGAGAGAACTTTGTGAAGATTAAAAGAAAGTTTCTCACCATTAAACAAAATAAAGTTTACTGCTAATCTCCAAGAGTTGTATCCTTCATAATATCCAGAATCTAGTTTTACACCCGTGTGGAATCAGGAGAATTCAATCTAGGAAAACACTATTTCTTAAATAATCCATAATGCAATACATGGAAATTCATTCACTTATTCTTCACATTACATCCTTCTTAGATTTAAGTTTGGTATCAGTGCATTTCCATCAGCTAGCAAAGCCTTATAATACCTTATGGATGTAGGATACATTAAGCACTGCATCTTGGCTAAGTCTATTTCTTATACTGATTTAACAAGGAACATCAGGGTTTCTTCTCTCTTCCCTCTTGTTTCCTGGGCAGCTTTCCCATATCAATGCATTTTTAATGGAGTACAACTTTAAGGAAAACAGAAACCCCCTTAAAACATCTATGAAGCCTCAATATGCCTTTCAGAGGTTAATTACAAGGGTTAGCAAAAGCATCACACATGCCTGACTATAGTATTACCATAAATTTAAGCCAAATCACAGACACTCTGAATGCTGACCATGCAATTGGCTCTTCTTTGAAAGAGCGAAACCATTTGCTCCTCCTAGGCAACTACATTTAAGAAAGGAACCATAATTGATCAGGAAACCCATGGAAGGGGGAGAAACTCAGTGCTCTGTGAAGACATAAACCTTTCAACGTAACGAAAACATGGAAAGACAAACAGCAAAAGCTTTAACAAGTAAGCAACCAAGCTTGGGTCGTGCAACAGCTAGCAAAATCCTAAACAACTAAGTTCACTGACTATCGTGGTAGTACAAAGTTCTTTTTTCTTAACCCAAGAAGCAGGCTAGGAACCTTTGATAGGTCCTACAATAATTCAACCAGATTTTACTAATGAGTAAGCACGCAATCTATTCTGTACTAGAAATTCCTAATAGCTTTAAAGTCAAGGGAAGCTTAACAGTATCGAAGTGACCACGAGAAGGATCCATGCGCAGTTTATGTCAACTACTGATCGATTAATAACCCCTGAACTTCTCACGACAGCCCATTATTATTCTGATCCCACTCTACCATCATTTCCACTTAAGTAGAAAGTCTTCATAACTCAGCCCAGTTGGTTCTCTACGTCAGAAAGGCTACATACAGAAACATCTCCCGGGAGAGACAGTCGCCATTCCGACGCGTATGTTCTACAACGCTCACGCCTGGAGACCCCGTTTCAACTCTACCTCCTAGTCAAACTCTTAATGCGAAGAAACGTCCTTCACCCCGCTCGCCACCGTTCAGCTGTCCTGGATGTTAGAGGTCCTTCGCTCCACCCCACTTCTGGCTTCTCCAGACCACCTCGCTCCGTGCACATATCCATCCCTCCCAAGTCCTCCCACCGTAGCCGGGTGGGAGAGGGCAGGCCCTCCAATTAGCCTCTCATTCCGTTCCCACAGCCACAAGGCCGCCGTCTCCCTATCAGAAGGAATCGCTAGTCAAGCCCACTCCCTCCTCTTGCTCCCTCCCATCCATACGAAGGGCCCAACTTCATCCTATCCCCCCTGTAGCCAAGTAACTGCTGCCCGAGGGAGCCACTCCCAGGGAGCAAAAACGACCCCTCGAGAACCCAGACACCCGGCGCGGCCTAAGAGCCCCACACAGGTACCTGAGACGGCTCTGGCTCCCCCCACTTCGCGGCCCTCGACTATTTCGCACACAAACAAACTACCTCAACCAAACCCAACTCTGTGCCGGAAGGCGGAGTTAGACTGTGTTCTAAACCAATGGGCGCTAGGCACCTGGGGCGCGAGAACGCGTTCTCGACCAATCATCTTATGGGAAACCGCACCCTTGCCTCATCTAGCTAATGGGAACTCCGCGAAGGGAAGGACGGGCAGCAGCTCTAGCACCAATGCGGCGGAGGAGGCGGGATAGCGAGTTAAAAA